ACTTTTACTTTCGCCCTCTGGGGGGAGCCTCGCTGGAAAATCAACACCGGTTGCATAGTGTACCTTTAAGTTCTAGAATGAAACTCAAAGGGGAGAAAAACATTGATTAATTAGAATTGGAAGAAATAAAAAAAATCAGAGATTAGATTTTCAAGCCATATCATCCAGCTCTGCTACCAGGTGACCAGGAGAGCTGAGGCCTCAAAGTTCAGGAGGACTTGTGAAAGTTCTAGGAAGTTGTTGGTGTTAAAAGCAGCTCTTCAAGTCACTCTCCATGTCCAGGAAATGAAGCCTGAGGACTTGGTAGAGGATTCCATCCCTGTGGGATACATGAATGGCTATAAGAAGATAGCCTAAAGAGTTTGTGCTGCATTACACTGAGACTCAGCAGAGAACCCTTGAAACAGCTTCTTCTAATCATTCGTCCCAAAGAATCTGAGCGATATTCAGTGGGAAGGTTCAGTCTCTTGATGGCCTTTATCTGCCGCTGGCTATACAAGCAGCTGAGCCTCCCCCCTGCTACTGTGTTCTGGCTCTTTATGACTAACTCATTACCCCAGCATCAAAGATTAATGAAAAAATTGCCAAGTGTTCATGAAACCTCTCACATTCCTCTCAGGGGCTGCTTTCTTTGAATTAACAATAATATGAAAAAGATATATTCGCCTGGGCATTGCAGTCCTGCACATGCAGTACCTTGCAAAAGCATTAACATTCTTTTAGTTCTTCTCACACTCTGTAGAAATTACAGCTAAAAATATTATATGGTATGTTTTTGCCTTAAAATGTTCCCATTAATCGTTGGAAAACAGCTGAGGCTCAGTTAGCATGCATAGAGAGAATCAGTGAACAGGAACCAAACAGTTTTGCACACGGAGGCCCTGATGCTCAATTCCAATTTTTGTTGTGAAATCCAATTCTTTTGCATGGTTGTTCACATAGCCAGATAAATGCGACTTGTACGCGATCTCCTGTGTGAACTGCATTCACACAACGCAAGTGTCCCGCATGCGCAGTAGACGACACAATGTAATCATGAGCGAGTGTGCTCTTTGTTTACGTAAGTAAACGTGTATTTTTGCTGGAGTGCATCTAGTTATCTTTCACTTCTTTACAACCTCAGCCCGTGCAATAACAATAAAATCTTTTTAAGAGGGTTGAAAATAAAGACTGCTCTCCGCATTATCGTCCGGAATGGTTGATGTTTTTCTTCCTGCTTCTGTGTAGCAAGATGCTGAACCTTTGTTGAGTTAGTTCAAGTTAGATGCATGCGACCTTGCAGTTCAGACACAGGTTGCAATTGAAAAGATCAGATATGTATCGGATCAATTCAATTTATTTATATAGCACCAAATCATAACACATGTGACCTCAAGGTACATTACGGTTCACCAGATCATACAGTCAGATTGATTCAAAGTTTTCTATTTAAGGAAAACCAGTTGATTGCATCGACTCATTCACTCAAAGGCAATCTCTTACACCAAGCATGCTTGTAGCGACAGTGGAGAGGAAAACTCCCTTTTAACAGGAAGAAACCTCCAGCAGAACCAGACTCAGTGTGAGCGGCCATCTGCTGAGGCCGACTGGGGTTCAAGGAGACAGAAGCAGAGATAGAAAAGGCTACTGTAAAAGGCGACCAGTCCAGGAAACACACAGACAGGTAGACAAGCTCACATGTCAGAAGATGAAGAGAGCACATTCAGCCAGTCACCCTCAGAGAAACAGGACTACACTGAAAAACAGGCCGAACTCCAACATCTAGAAACAAAGGTGTTGATGGCAGCAGAACAGCTGATATTTCTCTCCAGGATGGAGTCACAGCCAAACAGGAACAAATGAGGCGAAGCTGCTATGAGAAAAAGCAGAGATAGAATGAAGCAGAATGATGAAAAGGGTACCTATGTCCTCCACAGGTCTAAGCCTATAGCAGCATAACTATAGAGATAGCTCAGGACCATGTGGCCTGGGTCGCATTGGAAAAAATTGGATCTTTGTTGTTTAGACTGCCATGAAAAGTTCAGATACAGGTCGCATATGGGCAAAAAAATCATTTTGGGTCACTTAAGGCCGCTGTGTGAACGTAGCCAGAGGTTCGGAAGTTTTTTTAGTACAGTAGACTGTGTGGAAGAGCATCTCACACCGGAAGATTAACCTCCATCACAATCTCTAGTCTTTTGCAGCCTCGTCTTCTAGGACTTTCCTGCATTTATAGTTTTATTTTAATTTTTCAACCAACACTGCAAATAAGATTTATAGGTAAATGTGAAAATCTGCAGCTTGTATCAAGAATAAAATCTGGAACTATTTAAAGGGTAACTGATATTTTTATTACGTGTTTTTAAAAATCCAACGCAAAATGCCACTTGTAATGATAACTGCAGTTTAAAAAGCTCTTTCCTAATTAGTAGATCACTCTTTGCTGTTATGACTTACTAAAAAATAACACTTCCAGTCAAACACCAGCCACTGATAGCCTGCTGGCGACCTGTCCAGGGTGTACCCCGCCTTTTGCCCATAGACTGCCGGAGATAGGCACCAGCACCACCGTGACCGTGGTGGAATGAGTGGGAAAGGGTGGATGTATGGGTTTGCTCACTGCCTTCTTCAAACTCCACCAGAGATTTTGTCTTATAAAGTATTTCTTTATATATTTTTACTTATAGTGAAACATATCTCCTTACAGATTTTC